AAAAAAAAAAAAAAAAAAAAAGAACGATCCTAAATATAATAGAATACTATGAAAGAAATACTGTATATACTCGAGTATAAGCCTAGTTTTTCAGTCCTTTTTTTAGGTTGAAAAAGTCTCCCTCGGCTTATACTCGAGTCAAGGTTATTTCTTATTTTACTTAGTTGTTGTTATTATTACATTTATTATTTTACCCTATTATTGTTATGGTTACATTTATTATTTTACTGTATTTTTATTATTACATTTATTATTTTACTGTATTTTTATTATTACATTTATTATTTTACTCTATTATTACTGTTATTACATTCCATTATTTTACTCTATTATTATTATTATTATTATTATTATTATTATTATTGTACTCTATTTATTATTATTGGAGGACATGTAAGCATATTTACATTGAAGAAGCTCAGAATAATGGTTTAATCAGAGTTGGACACTCTTATCTTGAATTACAGTTTTATGTAAATATTCAAAAACATTTAACCTACTGATGCCTAAATTAATATAATTTTATTGGTATCTATTTTTATTTTGAAATTTACTAGTAGCTGCTGCATTTCCCACCCCTGGCTTATTCTCGAGTCAATACATTTTCCCCGTTTTCTGTGGTAAAATTAGGTATCTCGGCTTATATTTGGGTCGACTTATACTCGAGTATATACTGTAATCAAAAAGAACTGGTGCTTATTACCTTAGATGCTGCAAAAGCCTTCGACCGGCTGAATTGGGATTTCCTTCTTTTATTAATAAGAGAATTAGATATGGGATTTCTAATTATCTAATGCTATTAAATCAATATATAACAAAACAGAGGCAAAGATTATGATAAATAGAGGCACAAGACAAGGGTGCCCACTCTCCCCCTTTCTATTTATATTAGCGTTAGAAATCCTATTAAGTTCAATTAGGGAAGATGAAAATCTGATGGGGACTAAAGTGAAAAAAGAATATTACAAGCTCAGGGCGTTTGCCGATGAGCTTATTTGCATAGTTGAGGACCCTTTGGAAAACATAAAGAATTGGCTAGAAAAATTTGATGAATTTGGCAAATATTCAGGATTTAAAATAAATAAAAATAAGACAATGACACCAAATTGGGAGGGATAGCCAATACTCCAGAGGACAGGAGCAGGATTCAAAACGATCATGATAGATTAGAGAGATGGGCCAAAATTATCAAAATGAAGTTGAACAGTGACAAATGCAAGATACTCCACTTTGGCAGGAAAAACGAAATGCAAAGATACAGAATGGGGGACAATGCCTGGCTCGAGAGCAGTACGTGTGAAAAAGATCTTGGAGTCCTCGTGGACAACAAGTTAAACATGAGCCAACAATGTGATGTGGCGGCAAAAAAAGCCAATGGGATTTTGGCCTGCATCAATAGGAGCATAGTGTCTAGATCTAGGGAAGTCATGCTACCCCTCTATTCTGCTCTGGTTAGACCACACTTTGAATATTGTGTCCAATTCTGGGCACCACAATTCAAGAGAGATATTGACAAGCTGGAATGTGTCCAGAGGAGGGCGACTAAAATGATCAAGGTTCTGGAGAACAAGCCCTATGAAGAGCGGCTTAAAGAGCTGGGCATGTTTAGCCTGAAGAAGAGAAGGCTGAGAGGAGACATGATAGCCAGGTATAAATATGTGAAAGGATGTGAGAGGGAGCAAGCTTGTTTTCTGCTTCCCTGGAGACTAGGACACGGAACAATGGCTTCAAACTACAAGAGAGGAGATTCCATCTGAACATGAAGAAGAACTTCCAGACTGTGAGAGCCGTTCAGCAGTGGAACTCTCTGCCCCGGAGTGTGGTGGAGGCTCCTCCTTTGGAAGCTTTTAAACAGAGGCTGGATGGCCATCTGTCAGGGGTGCTTTGAATGCAATATTCCTGCTTCTTGGCAGAATGGGGTTGGACTGGATGGCCCATGAGGTTTTTTCCAACTCTATGATTCTATGATTCTATGACACTGATCCATGTGATTTGTCTCCTTTTAGGACTAGAGCTTCACGTTACCCAGGAAGAAGGCCCAAGTACAGCCAGCCAAAGCCCTCCTCTCCAACAGATCCCGCCTTTGGGAGAATGCACGGAAATATCAAAGCAACACATCCCAGCGGAACCCGTATTCAACACAGATGCCGAGCGCCAGAATTTCCGGCGTTTCTGCTATCAAGAAGCTGTGGGTCCCCGCACAGTGTGCAGCCGCCTTTGGGAACTTTGCCACCAGTGGCTGAAGCCTGGAAAGAACACCAAGCTGCAGATGCTGGAGTTGGTGATCCTGGAGCAATTCTTGGCCATCCTGCCCCAGGAAATGCAAAGCTATGTCAAGGGAAAGGCACCGGTGAATTGTGACCATGCTGTGGCCCTGGCGGAGGACTTCCTGAAGGGCCAGCAAGGGCAGGAGGTGAGTGTTTTCCCTTGGCTTGGATTCCAAATAGTGACCAAATAGTCCAAGGACATCCAAAACCTGCAAAAGTTCCCTTCCTAATCCTTCTGGCCCTTTCCTCTTGTTCCAGGTGCAACAGGTCTTGGCAGAAGCAGTTCCCAATATCTCCATGTCAAAGGAGGGCTCTTCAAATGCTCTGCATTCCCCAGTGTTCATGGGAGTCATCAGAAGTGGTCCTGGAGTGGCCAACGCAATGAGTAAGTCTTTCTTGTTCCTCCGTACTTAGGACAAATCTCCCTATTCGGCCATGCTATCCTACTTGGTGACCTTGGTCGAGTCACATCCTCTCAGCCTCAGAAAACCCAGTGATTGGTTTGCCTTAGAGTCACCACAATTTGGGAATGAAGCCACAGGACCAGAAGCTATATTTTTGGGGGTTGTTGTAGGTTTTTTCGGGCAATATGGCCATGTTCTAGAGGCATTTTGCCTGCATCTATGGCAAGCATCCTTAGAGGTAGTGAGGACACCATAGATGCAGACGAAACATCAGGAGATAATGCCTCTAGAACATGGCCATATATCCCGAAAAAACCTACAACAACCCAGTGATTCTGGCCATGAAAGCCT